GCAGTGAGCCAAGATTGTACCACTACATTCCAGCCTGGGCAACAGAGTGAGACAGAGTCTCAAAACAAACAAACAACAAACAAACAAAAAAACCCAGCAATGAAAGATTCTTTAGCTCTGCTGTAAATACACATTTTCAACAGATTTCTCATTTCCTCACTTCCGTAAGAAGTGACAAATGTCAAAGACAGAGAAAGGTCATCTACTTTGCTCATTTCAGAAGACAGCTGCTTTCAAAGATTCCTACGTTCTGCCTCAATCTTAACACAATCTCCCTTTCACGACAGCAAGTAAATGCTGACCCTCTTGAGAGAGACTTACATTTTATACAGACTTGTGATTCCAATACATGGAACACGTTCCATGTGCAGCTGGGCCACGCGAACCTGATTATGAACAGCAGGAGGAAATTCTTTCTTAGAGGAAAAGGTCAGAAGGACCCTGATAGTGGAGTATGTTTCATTTATCGCCAAGAAATAGCTTAGGCCCTGAAAGAACCTGCATCAAAATGAGTACGCATGTCCTGGGATTTGGACTTTGCTGAGTTTCTCAGGTGAAAAGTGGGAGATGAATTTGAGAGATTCGCTGAGAGTCCTATCAAAATCAGTTTTTACATTTCTCTTTATCTCATGTCTACACACTGACTTCTCTGTACTTATACAAAATCCTGGTATTTATTTTCCCTTTTCTACTCTTTATTCCTTATTTTCTCTCTCTTTTTAAAAGAGACAGGGTCTCACTCTGTCACCCAGGCTGGAGTGCATGGCACCATCAGAGCTCACTGCAGCCTTGAACTCCTGAGCTCAAGCAATCCTATTTCAGCCTCCCAAGTAGCTGGGACTACAGGCGTGCACCACCACCACGCCTGGCTAGTTTTAAATTTTTTTGTAGAACAAGGTCTCGCTATGTTGCCCAGGCTGGTGTTGAACTCCTGGGCTTATCCACAGGCCTTGGCCTCCCAAAGTGCTGGAATTACAGGCATGAGCTACCGAGGTCGGCCTATTCCTTACTCTAGATTAGGGGTGTCCACTCTTTTGGCTTCCCTGAGCCACACTGGAAGAAGAATTGTCTTGGGCCACACATAAAATACACCAACACAAAAGGCCACTGATGAGCTTTAAAAAAAACTTCGCAGAAAGTCTCAATGTTTTAAGAAAGTTTACCAATTCCTGTTGGGCCACATTCAAAGCCACCCCGGGCCCAGGCAGCGAGTTGGACAAGCTTGCTCTAGATCAGACATGATATTAGTGGGAATTCTGACTCTTTCCAACTCCCCTGCAACAACGTTTGTACCAGGAGCATTTACACAGTTAGCGAGTGTCCAGCAAGATGTGCCAGCGGATGTGGACTTCCCCAGGCCCGGCCCTTCCCGCACCCTCGACGCGCTCTTACCAGCTCCCCTGCGCAGCGACCTTTTCTCCGCCGTCCTGGGCTCCTTCCTGGGGTCGCGTTCTCCCGGGCCGGTGTCGGGGGGCGCGGCCTGGTGCGGCAGCGTGAAGCTCTGCAGAAGCGGCTTCCGGGGCAGGGGCGGCTT